AGTATCCTCAAGTTGGGTGTCTTGCGATACATCTCTAGACTGTACAAAGATTGAAAATTAATATGTGGTTATCACTAGAATATAGCAAAGTATGTGCGCAGTATGGTGACCGATATGCAGCAGAGGTCAATCAGTGAAACCCTGGGGTCTAGTGTTTTCACTGCCAAATATACAATTATAATATAACCTATTAGCACACGTGTAAAAGTTTGTATTATCAATCCTATATATTTCTCTGTGAAGATATGATCCTGTATTTGACGAATTGTCAAATATTAAAAATATTATTAAAGCGACCAGCGTATGCGTAAGATGGGCATGAGCCTTTGCATTTTAGCATGCATTGTTTTCGTCGCATGCGCAGGTGATAACCCCTTTGCTTTAAGTAAGATTTTTGCATATATTAGGTCGAGTGAGCTTACGTAAATATATATACATGTCTTTATTACACTTTCGCTGTCAATATTTGAAATAAAATAGCTAGTTTTACCCTTCACAATTAAAGCTTTAACTTAATTTCTATGATTCTTAGGATTAACATGATCACCTGCAACCTTTGAAGTGTCCCTAGTTACATTTGCTTGTATGAGCTTGTCTGACATCTACAATCTGACGCGATGCTCTTTCCATAGAGCTGGTTTATCAACCGCCTGCATAAACAGGTCAAAGGTCAAATCTCATGCATATTCATGAGGTGATAATGACCTATTTCAAATCAATATTATCCACATACTTACCCTTCCTTTGGACCACCTTGAGAAAGGTCAAACACTTGCCGTGGATTTAACAACCAATGAAATTTGGTCAGAAGCCTAGCACCCTGAAATAGACAACGACTTTTGAACTTTAATAGATCACAGTTGCCTTTCATATTGTCCTTTTCACCACCAGACTTTCTTAACTAAATTATTCTGCACTTTTTTCTTATATTCTTCAATATTTCTGGAAATGAACTCTAATTTTGGAACGAACAGACAGAATTTGAGTCAATTTTCAGTTTCTACTCAACAAATTTGGTTATTTTTGTCACAATCTTCTGAAGGAAATTGCAGACTATAAACAAAACTTTTTTGTGAATTTGTGATGAAAAGGGGGAACTGGTGGTGAAAATGTTAACATCCACCTTTAGGACACAAGTGCCTATCTGAGTGAGAGAGCCGCAATTATTTTTTTTTTGCCCTTCACATCATATCCCTGGGTTAACATGCTTTCACAATGACAGGGGGTGCAGCATGTACTGTAAAATGGTTAATTTTCACTGGGTTTAAATTTCACTGATTTACCATTTCAGCCATATTTAGTTTTATCATTTAGATAATGTGTTCCATGTCCAGTCAGCAAAATTAAAACCAAGTGAATAATTAACCCCTTTATAGTAACACAACATGACGTACTCGAGAAATTTGAGATTATCAAACTTGTTTTAGGTCATAACAGATCCCAATCGACAATGGTTCTATCAAGGGGGCATTTTGGATTCACCCTGAAAACTTTGCCTTTAAAAATTGCAAAAGTGTGTATGTCCATTCCCAAACTTGGATTGTAACTGACCCACTAGGGTAACAAGTGCGTATTTTTTTTTTTTTTTTTTTTAGAAAACGGTATAGCCCTTAAAATGTTTAACTATGAGAAGCCTACTACTAGTTACAATCAAAATAGAAAGTCTTTGACTTCGAAGAGCTCATTAAATCTTGTAAGACTACGTAACTTACTACATAAATGCTAGTGTGTATAACTGATTTGGTCACATTACTTATGTAAACTTGAATTTTCATCATGGGTAATAAAAACAAAAAAATCTTGCATATTCGACATTGATGGCGCCACTATACTTACATGGTTGCCACCACTTTTTGGGTTGATAAACACCAACATTGGTTTCATCTGTGGTGCCGGAATTGGTTTAATTATAAAAGGTTTGGGTTTACTGTCTTTAATGGAGCGTCTTTTAAATGATGGCCTCTTCTTTTTCCGCTGTGAACCCGATTTGAAAGAACCCTGTAAGGATAAAAGAGAATAAATAAATGTATGGTGAGATAATATTAGTAAGAAAATGCCTGTATGAATACTCATGGTACAGGGCTCTTCTGTTTTATCACTTACCTGCAATTTTTGTTTAGGTAATCTAATAATCCAAGATGGAGGAACAATTACACCCGCATGAATACCCATGGTACAGGGCTCTTCTATTTGTTGCATCATAAAACAGGACACTTTGTTATGATACTGAAAAAAATAAGAATTTGAATAATTAATAAAAATAATTATGCCAAAAGAAAATTTTGTGACATATAAAAGGTCGTTCAAAGGTTATTGGGAAGAGGCAGGTGTCATACATGACATGAAAAAACTTATTTCTTGGAAGAGGCTGATGACAAAGATAACATGAAATAACTGACTCCTTGGAAGAGGCTGATGAAATACATAACATGAAATAACTGACTCCTGGAAAGGGGCTGATGACATACATGACATGAAAAAACTTATTTCTTGGAAGAGGCTGATGACATACATTACATGAAATAACTTATTTCTTGGAAGAGGTTGATGACATACATGACATGAAATAACTGACTCTGGAAAGAGGCTGATCACATACATTACATGAAATAACTTATATCTTGGAAGAGGCTGATGACATACATGACATGAAATAACTGACCCTGGAAAGAGGCTGATCACATACATTACTAAAATAACTTGACATGACAAACATAATATGAAATTAAATGTATTGTTTCATAACAGAAATACTTACTGCAACCTTGCACCATGAGCAACTGATTGCTATAATTTCTTTTGTGTTAAAAAGTTTCTGTGGAAATGATTTTCCGCACTGTTTGCATTTGCCTTCTTGTCTTCTCCTGTGCACCCAGTGATGCCGAACTATCGTCTGTTGCTGCTCACAAAAATATGCAAATGAGAAGAAAATTTGTGTCACCATTAAATGCTAACTTTGATGATATGATGTTGGTTTAATTATTCATGATACTAGGTTAATTGTTTATGAAGTCTAATTATTAATTATTCATGACATTTCATTTTATTCTTGAGATTAGTTAAATATTAATTAATTTGGGTTAATTGATTATGAGGTCAGATCAATTATTCATGAAACAGATTAAGCATTCATAAGGCCAGGTTATGAATTATTCATGAGGTTTGTTTAAATATTCATGAGGTTTGTTTCACTATTCATGAGGTTTGTTTAAATATTCATGAGGTGGTTTAAATATTCATGAGTTTCAGTTAATATTTTTCAATATGTCAAGTTATGAATTAAATATTCATGGGGCCAGATCAAGTTGTTTATGAGATCAGATCAATTATTCATGAGGTGGGTTGAATATTCATGGAGCCATGCCAAGTTGTTTATGAGATCAGATTAATTATTCATAAAGGTGGGTTGAATATTCATGAGGCCAGGTCAAATTGTTTATGAGGTCAGATCAATTATTTATGAGGTGGGTTGAATATTCATGAGGCCAGGTCAAATTGTTTATGAGGTCAGATTAATTATTAATGAGGCGGGTTGAATATTCATGAGGCCAAGTCAAATTGTTTATGAGGTCAGATCAATTATTTATGAGGTGGGTTGAATATTCATGGCGCCAGGTCAAATTGTTTATGGGGTCAGATTAATTATTAATGAGGCGGGTTGAATATTCATGAGGCCAAGTCAAGTTGTTTATGAGGTCAGATTAATTATTCATAAGGTGGGTTGAATATTCATGGGGCCAGGTCAAATTGTATATGAGGTCAGATTAATTATTCATAAGGTGGGTTGAATATTCAAGAGGCCAGGTCAAATTGTTTATGGGGTCAGGTCAATTATTCATGAGGTGGGTTGAATATTCAAGAGGCCAGGTCAAACTGTTTATGGGGTCAGGTCAATTATTAATGAGGTGGGTTGAATATTCATGGGGCCATGCCAAGTTGTTTATGAGGTCAGATCAATTATCCATAAGGTGAATTGAATATCCATGCGTTTGGGTTAATATTTATTCAAGGTGGAAAGGTTAATTATTAGTAAGGTCAGAGTAATTATTTACAAGGCTATTTATGTAAATAAAGAAGACATAGATAATACACTCAAATGTATATATATCACTTTCTAACACATTTGCTGGTTATTAGGAACGGCTAATGTAAAGACAAAGTAATGTCAATAGTAAAACCATTCGTGCAATGATATATACCCTGAAATACAATGTAGGCAACTATTATTTCCCTTGCACTACCTCATACAGTATCTTTCTTTTGTTAGTTTGTTATTTCCTGTAACATAATTATGTAACGCAATATTTATGCAAATATCATAAGAATACATCGCATGAACATGGACAGACAATCATAGGAGATGAATATTCAGAAGTGTCAGGTTGGTTCAGATATAGAATGTGATATCACCAGCTCACCATCCCCACAGCAGCTGTACACCCATATATACTGCAGATGAAAGGTTCATATTAATTTGAAGCATAAATATTCATAAACTACCACATACACCACTAAATATGGTCGTACGATATCGTTTTATTAATATATTTTGATTTTGCCACGGTGTTTGATTGGTTATGATTTTGTTTTAAATTGGAGGAAACAATCAACAAACAGCCTGAACAGTGAGCATATTTTTTTTTATATCATGGTAGTTTAAATCATCATACAATCTGACAAAATCAGCCAATTTATACAGATTTTATTTTATTAGTGACTATTTAAAAGATTCTGAAGTCCATTATTTTTCGTGAAAATGCAAGATGATTAAACGTACATTTACATGTAGATGTAGGTAAACCTGAAAAAATTTATTTTATAAATTTTTTAATTATTTTCGGATTTGATGCCTATTTTTAGATCAAAGAGACCGCTGCAGCTTTGGCATTCTATTCAGAGTGCACATCTGGCATATAAGAACATGCTGGCTAATTCAAAGTACTATAACATTAAACTCGCAAATAAATATTAAATTGAACTGATAAATTTGAAAAAATTACTGGTAACAAATTTCTAAAAGTTTAACCATTTACCAACTGACCCCAGGTTTTTTTTGTTTTTTTCCTGGAAATTGCAGGTCTGATAGCAATATTTTTACAGTTAGGAAAATTTTCATGATTAAATATAATTTGTGTCATATAAAATAGATATTTTACGATAGAAATAATGTTACCTATATTAAAATGGAATTGCAAAAATAATTTTGCTTTTATCTCTTCATGTTATCCTGATGGCAGTTGATCGGCTCAGAAGCTATTGCGACCTAAGTGAAATATATGATCGAAAGTTCAGGTTGGCCACGGCATACGAGATTGATTGACGAAAACCCCTATAGGTGTATATGCTTGAAAAGTATTTATAAATAGAATCAAAATTATTCCCAGCTTGGGGGGACTGGTTTCAGTCTGTCTGCATGGTATACCCCTTAGGTATACATTTCATCATTTAACATAATTAATAGCATCCCCCTCAACTTACTTATAACAGGTTTAACTATTGTCGACCGGCTTCAGGCCCGTGCTGTCACATGACATTTCGAAACCCTATACGAACTGAGCATTAAAAATACACCTAGCTATATTAGAAACAATTCATTTGTGCAAGGGTGGTGAACGTTGCGCCGCATGTGTACAAATCTCATGTAAACAATATAATGTTGTATATGTTACTACGAATCCATATCAAATGTGATGTGGTGTCAGAAACCCTACCCCCCTAAAAGTTCAAGGTCACCGCAAGGGGTTTATAGATGAGTAAGTATAAGTGGCCATTTTGTCAGTATTACAAAGATTTTATCATTACAAAAGTGGGGATAAGAGCTTGTTTGCCATAAGCCAAAAAACAAAATTGTTTTGTTGCCCTCAGCGACCGACCGCAAAATATTATATATCGGGTCGGTTTAAAAACAGCAGTAAAAAATTTCCTCTAAAAATGATGGAGCCCGGACCGTTGTTTGATCCCCAGAGTCCCTGTAAGTGGCGACTTTGATTGTCGGGTTGATCTGTATTTCTCTGACATGTTCTGAATACTATGAAGTCCATATACCTTGGCTATTTAAGATACTCTTAGTTTTCATAAATTAAAAAAAAAAAAAAAAAAAATCCGGCCGACTGACGACCCAATTTTTCGACTTTATGGCAACATAAGTTTTTTTTTTTGGCCTAATTATAATATTGAAATCCTACATCCCTAAAATCAACTGTATCGTTAAAACTGTGATTAAATACGACCAAATTCGCGTAGAATGGATGATGATACAGAATAATTGTTTGACTAGTACAAATAAGTCTTAGAAAGGTTGCCTCATAATAATTTAACCTTTCACCACTAGACTGTCCCACACTTTTTCTTATATTCTTCAACATTTCTGGAAATAAACCTTAATTTTGGAGCCAAAAGACAAAATTTTAGTAAATTTTAAGTTTTTACTCAAAAAATTTGGCTATTTTTGTTGCTATCTTCTGACAGAAAATGCAGAATATAAACGGTACTATTTTGTGAATTTGTGATGAAAACACGGAACTGGTGGTGAAAAGGTTAAGTGGCAGGTTTTAATATGTTGTGTTTATGTCACACACAGAATTATGTTGACATACCTCTGGTGCAGAATACTAATTACTCAAAGAGTCAAGTCTAAATTTGAATAGGATTTAGTGCGGCAGAACTAATACAGCAAGTTTTTTTTAATTCAATTACTAGTAGATAGTAGTAATAGTAATAGTAGTAGGTAGTAGATGGAAGCAGGTGGACATGAGTATGCATCAAATTATCACGTCAGCTTTGTAAGAATGTGAGCGATGACAACTATGCAAGTCTGAATCAGTTACAATGTGGCTCCATGTTGCAGTGAAATGACGAATTAAATACCCCCCCCCCTCCCTCCTACAACAACAACCCTCAATTAGAAAAAGTAAAATAATTTCGACCCCTACCCTGGGTGAGTGTGCCACAGACTCAATGGGAAGGCCAATTCCACTGGCTGGGATTCATTTACTAATGAATGCGACTTTGGGGGAACCTTGGTTAAGGTCCGCAGGTGCTTGTGTTCGACCGGGCCTGGTTGACGCCAGGATAGCGCATTAAAATTGTCATTTGATAGGGAAATGGCCACACAGCCCTGTCATGTAGTCCCAAACATGAATATGACTTCTGCGGCAAAATGCACTATGTGTCAGCACTAGCACTTGCAATTAGCACTTACAAAAAAAAGTCAGGAGAGACAACAGTGACATTCAATGTTCGGAACTGTCGCCTGGCACAAAAACATTTAAAAAAAAAAAAAATTTCAAAGATTTTGAATTTTTAAATATCTATAACTCAAATGGTTTGTTTGTAATCATTATCAGTTATTATACCATACAGTGTAATTTGAAATATCAATACAAATTCATAATAATCATTAATAATTTGACCTGGCCTTATGAATATTCAATCTAGCTAATAAACAATGGATCTGACCTTATAAACCTTATCAAAAGTTTTCACTTAAATTGACTCTTGGAGCATTGTGGTGCAACTTATTTCTAGGCATTTTAAATTTTTTTTATTCAAACGTAATTTTCTATTTGCTACAGAGTTTGAATAATTCTGGGGGAAAAATTATTAACATTTTTTTTTTCATAAAAATTATAGCAACATATTTTTACCGAAGTTGACTATAGTGTTACATGTTCAAATTGTGTGTATTAAAACAAATGTTTTTTTTTACATGAGTACCCCGATATACATAACTTTGCATGGATCCATATCAATAAACCATGACACTATAACTGAGGTACATGCTTTTTATCATAAACATGTACTGTGGAATACTTTATTTTCGCTGGAATTAATTCTCTCTGAAAAGGCTTTTTGGGCGTTTTGTATGGAATTTATTTTCACTGATTTTTGACTAGTTTAATGTGAAATATAGGAAAAAAAGTATATTCGTTGGACTTTATTTTCACGCAATCATCCCTTCAGCGAAAATAGCAAAAATAAATTCCAAGCGAAAATAAAGTATTCTACAGTATATAACTAAACATCAAAATGATAAAATTAATCTCATTTCTTACCTCCCTGTAGTTGCGAATTCCAGCTTCGCGGAATGTAGGTTTACACTTAAAATTGATCTAAGAAAACAAATAGAACGGCAGAACAGTGAACATGAAGCGAGTACACAGAATGCATAATTGTTCAACTATCAAGACAGCATTATCGGTATAAGTGTACATTTGATTATATTCAAGCACAGCGTGTGTTCAAATTTCATATAACAATGTATTTTACATGTCTTGTATTGCTATGAGTCCTGTATAGATCTAGATGCGACGTGTCAACCCTCCTCCCTAGTAAATTATTATTACTGTGAAATCTGTACTAAAAGCCGCAGCTTCTGTATGGTTCAATGCAACAGAGGGGATGCGAGGGATTCTATTCGAGCATCTACACATAACAGAAATTGTGAATTTTTGGATCTGAAATTTTTAAAAAGAATGGGTGCGGCTTCTATTAGGGATGCGGCTTCTAGTACAGATTTTACGGTACTGTAGTTGTATTATTCTATTTTTATTATTACAATGTAATGCACAATCTATTTTTTTCATTTGTAATATTGTAAATATAATATGTATATATGAAATTATTTAACAGGTCCCACAGCTATGGTATACAGAAATGAGGCAGACAGAGGCTTCCAAATCTGAATTCTCGTCAGAACTTCCTGTGACCTGAACTCACACATCAGCTAATCGACATTTACGGTCGCAAAATCAAAATAGTCGTTTGTATTGATTGTGTTTGAATGCTTGGCTTGTAGTAAATTAGGCTTGGTTCATCGGGCATTTTTACTCCTGGATGAACATGGTTCTCCTGCTATATGGCAGTGCGTGTGATTTCTGCGTGAATTGACGTCTTAGATAGCATTGAAAATTTCATCCATGCGATCCAAAGGAATATCATGAACAACAATCAAACACTAATTAAGCAAACTCAACAGGTTTTAGCTGAAAACTACATGATTTAGAGTTCCCATTCACACTCTGATCACTCAAATAATGGCACAAAAAAGTTATCAAATATAATACACGGCCAGAGAGATGTGAGCTCATCTCATTTTGAAACTGACGAAAGCTGAACAATAATTTGTTAATTAATCCATATATTTTACTAATTAAAATTATAGTTTTATTATCTTAATTGTGATTGAAGTTTATAAAATGCAAACAACTTAGGACAGTGAGTGCTTACAAACCTGTGGATAAGCCTTCAAGACTATGAAGATGAGTAACTATGGCAACCATCAAAGGAGACAGAGTAATTTGATCTTATGATAATCTTGCTTTAGATATTCACCTATCCAAAGTGTTACAAATTTACTGTAATCATTCAATTTTCATTGTTATTGACTTTTTGGAATACAATAAACCGACGTCATTAAAGGAGAAACAATTTTGTGAACACGCATTGTTATGCAAATCCCAATGCTGAAGTATTTTGCTTTTTTTCTGATCTGATGAAATTTGTGAAAATTTCTCTATTGTGAAAATAAAAGTAGTGAACAGTAATAATTGGTAATCCATAACAAAAATGGACGACAGTTGTTAACTATTATTAAACCTCATATTGGTTTAAAATTAATTTTGTTTTTTGTGTGAATAGCATCACTGAAGTACAGACAAGGGTTAGGTCTTTTTATAGCAATACAATACACAATCTGTAAACTGTAACGTACTATTTTTCACTTATTTATAAGAGATTATTCAGTGAAAATAAAATCATGGGAATATACCTTTTTTCTTATATTTTACCTTCAACTCATCAAAAATCAGGAAAAACATACAAAACACCCAAAAAAGTCTTTTCAGCGAAAATTAATTCCAGCTAAAGTAAACAGTACTGTTTATTTCCCAAAACGACTCCACTAATACATCGGTAACGAAGTTTGACTGGTACAGGAACATGGTACTACCGGTAATATGAACCGAATGAATTCGAACAGACTGGTCAATGCCGACCATGTGTGGACGTAGACTGACCCAAATCAACATAATTTATATATTAATACATGGCTATTCACGCTATCATTATAATACCAAATATAATGATAATAACTCAAAAATATGAACTGGAATATTAATATTCATGATATTTCTATAGATACTGCAGTCAAACATGTCTTTTTTATAGTTAGCTTGTTATTTTAGCTAATTTAGCTAATCTGTAATTTTGCTATTAATTCAAGATGAAGCAAATTTAACACATACAGAATATTCTCACAATGTTACTTCAGCTAATTTAGAATTCAGTTAACTCATGCATTGAGTCAGATTCGCTACAAATTTGTATGTAGCTGTTTCAACATGTAGGTGATACAGTATCTTGTACATTCAATATTAAACACAATTTTGCCTTTGATGGTCTTTAATACACTGTAAAACACAAGCTGGAAATAATTTTCACTGATTTGCACTAATTTTTATATTGGACTTATTTTCACAGATTTTTTGCCCGATTTATATTAAAGTCAAAGGAAAAAGGGTATATTCGCTGGATTTTATTTTCATTTCATCAAAAATAACAAAAATATAGTATTTTACAATGTTTGATGTTATGTATAACACATTGGAAATCCCAAGAAACATAAACAATTTTTTTCTTCTTTTTCTATTGTATCATTTCCAAACCCTCTAGGGTATGAAAAAGCTTTATATTCTTTTTCTCTCGTTTCCTATCCTTATTTCTGTGTAATCATTTCTATCCCTTCAGGAGATACTAGAGTGTTATTGAATAAATTCAGAAATAACGTTTTTATTATTACACCTGTGATGAATACACATCCCACATTGTGTTCCCAGTATAATTGGCTCTACCATATTTGTTCTATTAGATGTGCATCACCAATGGAAACTTGCATAAAATAAGACATACACCAGAGCAAATACAGTTATACGTGTATAAAATAATAATAATAGTCTTTATTGAAGTCGTATCCTAAAAATATATATATTTCATATCCTAAAAATATATATATTTCCCTAAAAATATATATATATTTCGTATCCTAAAAATATATATATTTTTTATCCTAAAAATATATATATTTTGTATCCTAAAAATATATATATTTCATATCCTAAAAATATATATATTTCGTATCCTAAAAATATATATATTTCGTATCCTAAAAATATATATATTTCATATCCTAAAAATATATATATTTCGTATCCTAAAAATATATATATTTCGTATCCTAAAAATATATATATTTTGCATCCTAAAAATATATACATTTCGTATCCTAAAAATATATATATTTCGTATCCTAAAAATATATCTATTTCTCATCCTAAAAATATATATATTTCATATCCTAAAAATATATATATTTCCTATCCGAAAAATATATAGATTTCGTATCCTAAAAATATATACATTTCGTATCCTAAAAATATATATATTTTGCATCCTAAAAATATATACATTTCGTATCCTAAAAAATATATACATTTTGTATCCTAAAAATATATATATTTCGTATCGTAAAAATATATATATTTCGTATCCTAAAAATATATATATTTCGCATCCTAAAAATATATATATTTCGTATCCTAAAAATATATATATTTCGTATCCTAAAAATATATATATTTCGTATCCTAAAAATATATATATTTCGTATCCTAAAAATATATCGATTTTGTATCCTAAAAATATATATATTTTGTATCCTAAAAATATATATATTTCGTATCCTAAAAATATATATATTTCGCATACTAAAAATATATATATTTCGCATACTAAAAATATATATATTTCGTATCCTAAAAATATATATATTTTGTATCCTAAAAATATATATATTTCGTATCCTAAAAATATATACATTTCGTATCCTAAAAATATATATATTTCGTATCCAAAAAAATATATATATTTTGTATCCTAAAAATATATATATTTCGTATCCTAAAAATATATATATTTCGTATCCTAAAAATATATATATTTCGTATCCTAAATATATATATATTTTGCACATTTGTGTTTACAAAGCCTCGACGGATAGCTGAAATGAATGGGATAAAATGGCGTCATCTTGTGATGAGTTTACCTTTTCACCACAAGTTTTCTGTTTTTCATCAAAAACAAGTCATTGAAAATGACACAGTCCCCGTTAAATTTTTGAAAGTTCTCTTTGTGCTCGTCATATTAAAGCGGAGGGGTTGTTGTGAGCGTGTCCTTGAAACTTGAGTTCCAAGTGGCATATACGTTATTCGGCCATCTTTGATCTGATTATGAAACACACTGATACGTATGATGTATGTGCCAAATACGAATGAAAATGGTACATAAATTGTGGAATATAGTAGTAAGGCCAAAAGGTCAGATGGCTGTCAATCGGCCATCCTTGACCAGATTTTGAAACAAATTGTCATGGACATGCGTCCTAACATGTATAAAGTACATGTATGTGCCAAATTCGAATGAAAACTGACAGAGCACGTCCAAGATACCGCATAAAAAAAACAAAATGCCTGTCAGTCGACCATCTTTGATCCAATTGCGAAATAAATCATCATGGACATGTATCCTAACATGTATAATCTATGTACCAAGTTTGAATGACAACTGACAAAGCATGTCCAAAATACAACATTTTCAAAAAACAAGATGGCTGCCAGTCGGCCATTTTGAATCGAAACGCTAAACCACTGCATGTGAATATGTCCCCCATAAAGTACTAGGCACATGCAAAGGATGAACAGAATCGGTCCAAGGGTTTCTGAGATATGACTCCGGACGGACGCACAGGCGCACAGACGCACGGACAGAGACCGAATTATAAGTCCCTGTTTTCGGACTTCGTCCGAACAGGGACTAATTAACAAGCTAGTCTGTTTATAGTCTGCACTTTCCTTCAGAAGATTAGAACAAATATAGCCAAATTTTTTGAGTAAAAATTTAATATTGACTAAAATTTTGACTGTTTGCTCCAAAATTAGGTTTTTTTCCCACAAATATTAAAAATATAAGAAAAATTTGGGGGGAGAAAGTCTGGTGGTGAAAAGGTGAAACAAAAAAGAGTCAAACTCACTCTTTCGAGCTGCCCCATACAAGCCGTATGCACCACGATTCTACATCCTGAGCATTTTTTTCTCGGTCCATTTTTCTGCAAAATATAAAATTACATGAAATAATCAGATGACAGATTATTTATTCATTTTTATGCTTATCACCAGATAGATTAGAAAATGAGAATTCCAAAAGTGAAACCATTTTCAAAATGGAACATCCATCTTGGAAAACATTTTGTCTTCCATTCACATTGTTTTCTCATTTCAATTACGATAAAACCTGATTGGTTTCAAAAATGGACCAGTATTACTAGAAACATTTTTTATTATTATTCTCACGTTATTAAATTTTAGTAGTATAGATTTACATAAAAGTTATTGCATTTCAACTTAAAATGATATTTACATCCATTATAGTGAAATACATTATTATTATACTACTATGGAAACAAGAGCAACCTGCTATTGTTATTGTTTTAAACTCAAAATTTACAAAACAGCCCTGGGAATAACATAGGAAATATTGATGGTACTGAGAAATACTCGTTGGGCACCAAGGCTTCAGAGTTGAGATGACACCTACTCATCAAGACCAAAATGTTTAAAATCGCCCTGGGAATAACATAGGAAATATTGATGGTACCGAGAAATACTCGTTGGGCACCAAGGCTTCAGAGCTGAGATGACACCTACTCATCAAGACCAACATTTATAAAACAGCCCTGGGAATAACATAGGGAATATTGATGGTACCGAGAAATACTCGTTGGGCATCAAGGCTTCAGAGCTGAGATGACACCTACTCATCAAGACCAACATTTATAAAACAGCCCTGGGAATAACATAGAGAATATTGATGGTACCGAGAAATACTCGTTGGGCACCAAGGCTTCAGAGCTGAGATGACACCTACTCATCAAGACCAAAATGTTTAAAATTGCCTTAGCATATAGAAATAACATGGAAAATATCATAGAGCAACAAGTTAAACTTATTGGGCAACAAAGCGATTGCTTTCCATGTATCTGTGATGTACAATCCATGCTATTATCATTCGTGAAGGAAAACAAATTCACACAGATTGGTTTCCGTTATCTGTTTTCTCACCTTGAGTCACTG